GAAGTTACTGAAGGTCAGCCAGGGCCTCGGGTGTGGACGCTCCGAGCCAGGGATGAAGACTCCGGGCTCAACGGCAAAGTGGAGTACAGCATCACCGGTGGAGATTTCCAAAGTTCGTATCAGACTGATTTGCTGTGGTGACGGTAAACTGTTATGAAATCCTTTATTACCACCTCAAAACGTCTCTGAAACATCCTGAGAACATTACAGTTATTGTGAAGGGCACCGTCTCGTAACACTTCCTGGAAACGTGTCCAAAATGTCCTTGCAACATTGTAACCTGACTATTAAGTAACCAAATTTTATAGTCGTATAAAAGGGACGTGCAGCATTTTCACAACCGAGGCAGGGCGTTTCAGGGACACCCCCAGCGTCCTGTAAAGGTCTGGGACATTTTTCGCCTTTAGTGAAGTAGAGAGCCTTTAGATAACGTCACATAAGAAGCCTAGGAACACCCCCTTCAACACTGATATGCATCTCCACTCTCTTATATGTTTTTCTGTCAGACGAGTTCATGGTTTCCCCAGTGGAGGGTGAGCTTCGAGTGAGAAAGGATGTAGAGCTCGACAGAGAGACCACTGCCTTCTACAACATCACTGTCACAGCCCGAGATCTGGGAACCCCGTCTCGCAACAGCTCGGTGGGCCACGCTTTCACACACTCTGCCATGTCTGTTACTGTGTGTTAAATGTGGCTTAAGTTCTATTATTTGCTTACTATACACACTAACCACATGTAGGATACTATATATCACCTGAATGACTGCTGTAGTTTTTTTTAATCTCTTTATGTCACATAACCGACAATATAAAAAAATCATAATAAAGTCTTGTTTTTATGGGTTTATTAATAGCTGTTCAAACAGCTTGAACTGAATGCATTTATTTTTAAAGGTGGCTCTTATGTTTTTCAGGTGCTGGTGGGGGTTTATGTCCTTGATATCAATGATAACGACCCGGTCCTCCTTAACCTGCCTTACAACACAAGTGTAAGTGAAGGCGCGTCAGTACACACGTCTGTGGCCAGAGTCCGGGCGCAAGATGCAGACAGCGGACGCAACGCACTGCTCACTTATAACATCACTGCTGGCAACCAGGATGGAGCCTTCTACATCAATGACACAGTGAGAGAACTGGGTGGTGGGGTTTAGGCTGAAAAAGGTGGAGCAGGCGGTGGAAGATAAAGAAGCATCCAAGTGCTTCTAGATTTAGTCCCAGATCAGTTTATCAGTTTAGTTTAACCTATGAAAATGTTCAGGCTCCCTTTAATCTTAAGCAGTCCAGCTATATACATTAGCTGTGTATAGACTATAAATAAAAAGCTTATGTGACAGGATATGAATTTGTCTTTTTTTTTAAGATAAGGGTGAAATATGCGGTCTCTTGTTTGTATCACAGACTGGTGTCGTCCAGGTCAACAGACCACTAGACAGAGAGCGAGTAGCGGAATACACGCTCACCATCACCGTCAAAGACAACCCCGAGAATCCCCGCATCGCTCGTAGGGTAAGCTCACTCTCCTGTGTGCATTTGTTGCAAGTGTTCGCATGCTACCACCCTGACAGTTTCACAGAGAGACCAATGAACCCATCTGCCTGCAAATAAAATAGTGTGTCTTTGCAGCTTATCTCGGGAATTTAACTGCAAGCGTGGTTTTTAGGTTATGCACAAATAGTTGTTTCATGAAAGCACTTGCCATAATGTGAATGAAATGTAAATGAGCCCTTCAAACTCTGGGTGATTGCTTTAGGTTGAACGATGAACAAGGCACAAATGGGTAATATAGCCCTAAATCACAACAACAGTGACCTCAAGTTGATTTATATTGTACAATAACAGATGCCCACCATAACAGAGAGAAAACCCAACAATGACAACAACAAACCCAAAAATGAGCTAGCATTTGATGACAGTGGAAAGGAGAAACTCTTTTAACAGGAAAACTGCAACAGAACCAGGCTCAGGGAGGGGCGGCCAGCTTCTGCGATGTGTTGGTGGTGAGTTCTGACTCACATGGACAAGCCAAATGCCTTCTGGAGAACAGATTTTATGGCCAGACGAGACATCATCAACTTCACCTGAAATCAGCAGCTTGATGATTGAAACTTGACACAGCTGGGTGCTACAACAGGAAAATGATCCAAACACACATCAAAACTGGTTTTCCAGTGGATAAAGCAGTAAATGTTAAGCTTTTTGATTGGTGTTCCTAAAGCCCCAACCTTAAAACTAGCATGTGCCAGGAAACCAACTAATGTATATGAATTCTACCAAATCTACCAAGGAGAATGGTCAAATATCCAACCTAAGTTATGCAAAAGCTTGTTGATGTCTACCAAAAGCATGTATGCATGCTGTACTGGAAAAAGAAAACTTCGAAGTTTTAAAAATTTAAAAGTCCATGTTTGTCACAAGGTGACCTGGAGGCCAGGTTGAGGGAAAAGGACCCAAAAGCAGACTCAGTAAGCTCAGCGATGGATTTACACTTGATTTATTCAGTGATATCAAAGCCATTTACAAACACCAAAACCCACAACAACCCCACATGATATTAAACAACTATTTACATGAATATGTACAATAAGGGGAAGATGTGCGGAGCGTCAGTGAGGTGGAGGGGAGACTTCTTAGGGAAACACAGGAGCGGAAGACGGGCACAGATGACTGGTTTAACCAGAGCAGGATTACAGTCTCCTCCAGGGCACAAGGAGAACAGAAGCAATGAGGCAAAGTGAGGCAGGAAATCTGAGGAGTGGTTCAGTAGGTGTGGCTGCTTACTTGGATCAGACCGGTTTTCCAATTGGGAGGCGTCGTCGTGAACCCAAGTGAATGGTTTTGTGGCAGGGAATCCAGAGCTTCAGTGGGCAGGGTGGAGGCAGTGATAGTGGAGGAAATCCACTGAGGAAGGTGAAGGAGATTGCCTGACTCCGCCTCAAGGTGGACCCAGGAAGAACACCGCCAGCCCCGACACACCCGCCACTCAGTTGTATGGTGACAAATTTACCATGACATTCATGCCCATGATGACTGCATATAAACCTTTGATCACAACTATAAAAGTTACATAATGTAAAAATGTGCAAATTGTGGATTCATGTAAGAGAAATAGCAAAACTTTCAATCTAAAGTTTTTCTATGCCCATTTTGCTCTACTAGGTACTAGTACTAGTAGTACTAGTTCAAATGAAGTTCATCTTTGAAAGTTACATAATTTTGATACTTTAAGAGTTATAAGACACTTTTGTTTATACCTATGTCCCACCTGTTTGGTATTTTTGATACTTTACTTCCTGCATCCTGTTCATATGTGGTCTTTTTACTTAAAGCAAGAGTAACATAGTTCATCAAACTGCAGTTGTGAGGTTTTCTTTAAACGCACCATGCATCTGTGGGAAAAGGTGTGAAACTGTTCGTCTTGCCTGCAGAGATGTGAACCGCTAAGAGTCTGAATGCAGTATATTAGTGCATGCAACAAAGTGGTGCAAAATCTGTCTGATCTGACGTCTGGTATCTCTATATTAGTTTGCAGGTTGACTGACCTATATTTGTCTCTTGCTTGCTGTGTCACACAGTCTTCTAAGCATTTTCTTTCCATGAATCTTTTGTCCCACACACCAGGATTCAGACTTCTTGGTTATCACCATTTTGGATGAGAATGACAATAGGCCTGTGTTTACCAGGAGCAGCTACAGGGCTGAAATCACAGAAAACTCTGCTGCAGGTAGCATCCGTGTGTGTGTGGGTGTGTGTGTGTGTCTACCTTTGCAACCTATAACTGCATGGCAGAGCAACATGGTCTGTAGCACTGTCTAACCCACTTCCTGAATCTGTTTACACACAGTTCGTGTTCAGCAAAGGCTTTTTTTTTTTCACTTTGTCGAGTGATTTAGTAGCCTTGTATTATAAATACACTTCAGATACACAAAATACATTTGTTCAAAACACAAATAAAAAACACTTGACCTGGGGACAGTACAGAAGACGTCTTCCAAAAGTCCTTTACCTTGTAAGGACTGATGATCAATGTTATTTTTGAAATATTGTGAGACTAAAGTCAGCAGAAGTGACAAGCCTAAATCTATCCCCAAACAACGACTACTTTTTAAAGAAGAAAAGCAAAGAATTTTACGCGAATAATTTTCAGTGCGTAATAATTAAGATGACTTTTCTTTTTACCACAAATTGATTTAAATTGGGAGGACAGCTTTTTCTTCATTCCTGACATCTTTGTCTTGTAGGAACCACTGTAACAGTTTTAAATGGACCAGTTCTAGCTGAGGATAAAGACATTGGACATAATGCTGTGGTGAAGTACCGCCTGCTGGGACCCAGGGTGGACCTCCTCACCGTAGATGCTGATACTGGTAACATTGTGACTCTCCAGTAACAAGAAAGAAGTTTGTTTTTTTTAAAAAAAGTGTGATGGTAAAGTCTGTATCTCCCTCCAGGTGTGATACTTGTGCGCCAGGGAGCAAAGTTGGACCGAGAGGCATTTCAGGAGCCTCGTGTAGAGCTGTTTCTGGTTGCGGAGGACATAGGAGGTTTAAACAACAGCGTACCTCTCACAGTTACCATCCTGGATCAAAATGACAACCCTCCTGTCTTTAGCCCGTCCAGTTTCAGCGTTCGACTTCCTGAAAACAGCCCGACTGGTGTGTGCATTGCTTTGTTTCTATGATCTGGGTCAGTGAGTGGGATGGGAGGAGGGGCGTTGAAACAAAAGTATTACCCCTCCACTGTATGAGGTTTAGGGGCTTTTTGTCTTCGGTGTAGTGATACCTGATCACAATGTGTGTGTGTATGTTTGCTCTCCAGTCATTACTTTGTCTTTTCCAGGTGTTGTGGTGACTCAGCTGTCTGCCACCGATGCTGACTCTGGCTCTAACGGATGGCTGACGTACCGGTTGGAAAGTGGCGCAGAGGACCGCTTTGTGGTCGAAGCGCTGTCTGGCGCTGTCTTAGTGGGCAACGCCACGCTTGACAGAGAGGAGCGCGGATCCTACCGTCTTGTCATCATAGCAACTGACCGCGGCACACCCCCTTTGTCTGGCACGGCCACCCTGACTGTTATCCTGGATGATGTCAACGACTCACGGCCACGTTTTATACAGCCTGTAACCGTGATAAACGTCAATGAGTCCACTCCACCCGGTGTGGTGGTAGCCACGCTGACTGCCGAGGACCCTGATCTGCATCCGCGGCTGGAGTATTACATTATTTCCGTGGAGGCAAAGGATGATGGGAACAAGCCAGTGGATGGGCTCCAGGAGTCCTTTGGGATTGATCTACACACAGGTGAGACATATATTTCTACCGCGTTGTATGTTTAGATCTAAAAAGCTTTACTTTGAGTAATGATGATGGATACCGGCTATATCAGGTCTTTTGTGTGTCTTTATATGGACTTTCAGGCGCGGTATTCGTACGCAACCCTCTCAACAGAGAGCTGGTAGCTACATTTGAGATCATTGTGTCTGTACATGACAATGCCAGCGACGTTATTGACAGGTCAGGAAGTGTTCCCAATGGTAAGTGACTCTTTAACCTTCAGTTTATTATAAGTGATTTCCTAAGTAGTTTCCACGTATCTCTCATATCATGATCTCCTCTACAGCAAGATTAACCATCAACGTGTTGGATGTAAATGACAATGCTCCTCGTTTCCGGCCTTTTGGAGTGACTAACTTCACAGAGAAGATTTTAGAAGGAGCTCAGCCAGGCACAACGCTGTTGTCAGTGTCAGCTGTAGATCCAGACAAGGGTCCCAATGGCCAGATCATCTACCAACTGCTTCACTTGCCTCGAGGGGGATACGTTAGACTAGAGGACCCTTCAGTTGGTGAGCTGTCGTTGGCTGCATGCTGTCAACAAACGCAGCATGCACCAGTTTTAGATTTGCTTTCATTTAAGATGCTGTGTGCTGTTACTTGGAACATCAAATAAAACAGAATGCAGTGATTTACTAATCTTATTTTATTCACAGTATACAACAAAAACACATGTTTGAACTGAAATATTTTTTATATTTAATGAAAAATATTAGCTCATTTGGAATTTGACATGTCTCAAAAAACTTGGGGTGGTGCCACATTTTGAAACATTTTGCAACTAATGAAGTAAACTGAGAGTAAACTCAGAAGTAAAGAGGGCAGAGGCAAAAAAAAAAAACTGCATCTGTAAAAGGATTTCAGAATAATATTCCTTGATGTAAAATTGCAAACACTTTGAATGTCTCATGATGTACAGAACAAAATAAGAAAATATTTCTCTTAAACTGGTGCATTTTCTCAGTTTAAATAAGTTTTCTATGTTCTGTTCTGTGAAAATATGGGTTTATGAGATTTACAAGCTACTATTTACTAGCTTTATTTTTTTATTTGACTTGTTTTTATTGTAATTGTGTTTATATTATACTTTTCCGTACTTGTTGTCATGCAAATTTAAAATCAAAACACAGGCTATAGTACATGAATGTTGACTGTGACTATCATTGTGATACCATTTTTTCTAGGTAAGATCGTAGCCAACCAGACGGTGGATTTTGAGCAGGTCCAATGGCTGAATTTTACAATTCGTGCTCAGGACCACGGCACTCCTCCCAAGATTGCTGAGCTGCCAGTTTATCTGCGTATTGTAGATGTCAACGACAACAACCCTGTCTTTGTACAACCGTCATATCAGGTATTAAAGAGGATGCTAAGAAACACGAACACAATTGAAGCAAATTTGTGTAGGACTGTTGCTTAAAATGTTTCTATATTCTCTGTGATCACTGCTTAAACTTGATATTTGTGGAGATTTTAAGAGCCTACCGCAGGAGAAGTACAAGCCTCAGGATGCCAGTGTTATTAGTGTCATTAGTTACATCTATGTCTAAATTAAATAAAGTACCAGCGCACGTGAGCCCGAAAAGGACAAAACACAGCAAGCCGAGAAATAACAAAGTCCTTAAATTATGAATAAGAGCACACAAAATCCATGAAATTAATTCACCACAGTAAACTGCCACCAGTGTATTAACTGTAAAAATGAGCTTGCTTTGCAATGTCATCAAGCATTGTACTGCATGAGTGTTTTTTTGTTCTTTTTTTCTTGTTTGTAGGAGCCTGTGTTTGAGAATGTAGACTTAGGCACCACCATAGTTCGCGTCCATGCTACAGATGCTGATTCTGGCCTCTTTGCAGTGATTGAGTACAGCCTGGTAGATGGAGAGGGCAAGTTTGGAATCAGACCATCTACTGTAAGTGAACTCATACACCAGCAAAATCTGATCTAGTGTAAATAAAATTGCTTTATTTTTGTATCTGTAATTAGAGTTTTGTTTTAGCATTTCCTAGAAAATCCAAAATGACAAAGCTTTGCTTAAAGTGTAACAAAAACATCTCAGAGTAGTTACAGTAAATGTAACATTCCACTGTGTGAGATTTTAGTGGAAAGGTTAAAGCGAAGCAATCCATAACCTTTGAACAGCAGGTTCCACTGAAAATGTGGAATTTCTGTCCTCTGGGGAAAAAAATAAACATTTATTGAGTAGTGAGGAGTGTTTTACTGTGTTATCTCTCCTGGCAGGACTGAGGAGCATACTACCAGGAAACACAAGTTTATGCAAAAGGATTTTAATGACCTAAAAATATCTACAGTACATATTTGACCGTATTTGACTTCTGTTCTGTCATAAACACAGAGCCAACTAAATGTTCTCCCAGTCAACACTTTTACTTCTTCCCTCTCATCATACTTTCTCTTCTGCGTTAGGGAGAGATCTACATCCTGTCCCCTCTAGACAGAGAGACAAAAGATCACTACACTTTAACAGCTGTCGCCCGAGACAATCCCGGCGACAGTCCAAACAAGAGACGAGAGAACTCTGTCCAGGTAGAAATCGTAGTTCGTGATGGCAAAAATATTTGGTTTACACATAAACAATATTGTAAATATGTCTTTAGTATTTGAGTGATTCATTGAACCCTTATGGAAATGAGAAATAGGCCAATTTTACAAGTTGTGTTGTCAAAGTCAAAAAATAGCAAATCATGCAAACACTTGATCAAATACGTATTAAGGGTGTCAAATCTATGAATTTGAAGCCAATGCTTATCTTATAATATATATATAATTTTTATAATTTGAACTATTGTTTTAACTGTGCGCTGAGCTAAACTCTGCAGATCTTAAAGCCCAAGCTAATACTATCCCTAATATCCTTTTGCATTATAATGTGTCAAATCAGGTCCTGGTGACTGTTCTCGATATCAACGACTATCGGCCGCGCTTCTCAGAGCGAGTGTACAACACCAGTGTGTTTGAGAATGAGCCCAGTGGTACTTCTGTGATAACAATAAAGGCTACTGACCTGGATGAAGGCGAGAATGGCGCAGTACTCTACAACATGTTGGGACCCCATTCAGGTATGAAGACGCAAGATGCAATAAAATCCTCAATAGGGTCACATGACTAAATCTTTTCAATGAACTATGCTTTGAATTAAAAGTTACTACCTTAGGTACAGCTTGAATTCTTCCAATAAATATCCACACTTTACTTTTTAATCGCTTATATAATCGGTGGAAAGAGAATAGTATCACAACTTTGTCTTCCCTTGCGCTTTTTCAGATGCGTTCTCCCTGGATCCAAACACAGGACTGGTGCGATCGCGACGTCTGCTTCAGTCGTCGGAACGTTTCAACCTGACTGTGGTGGCTACAGACCAGGGGCGTCCCCCCCTATGGGGCACAGCGGACCTGATCATCATAGTCATAGATGTCAATGACAACAGACCTGTGTTTGTTAGGCCAGCCAATGGAACTATCATCCATATCCTAGAGGTACTATCTGCATTCACAGCCTTCTTTAAGTCGTCGTTGTCAGCATGTGCTTTTGCCGTACGCTTCTGTTGTGCAAGGATATATATGTCCTGATTTCTTTACTCTAGTGCTACTATGATGCTCAAAAGAAATGAGTCACTGGTTTTACTGTGAAGAGTTGAACTTATACTTTTACTTCCTTTTGAATACACTGCTAATAAAATGTATTTCATGTGGATTAGTCATATTTGTCTGACACTCCATCAGTATCATAAGTGGCTCTAATAAAAGAACCCTTATTGTGGTTTGGTTGTGGTCTTTCAAGAGTTGTTTATCGTCCAACTGAGAGACATCATACCATATCACAATACAGAAACCTCTCATAAACCACAGATTTCTTGCATTTGAGTAATATAGATAGGGTATTTAGTTCACGTCACACAAACACTCACTGCCCTTCTTTGCTCTGTACAGGAACAACGTCCAGAACTGGTGGTGTATGAAGTGCATGCTACAGATGCTGATGCGGGGCTCAATGGAGAAGTGCGCTATGCCTTCCTGCAGACGGGAGCCGGTAACAGAGACTGGGAAAACTTTCACATTGATGCCGTGACTGGAGTCATTACTACTACTGCAAAGCTTGACCGAGAGAAGCAGGCCTTGCTTAGCGTGAGTCACCAGAGTTTGTTTGTGTTTTCAGTTGGTGTAATTGTAGGTGTGTGACGCTAACCCTGTGCAAACTGTTCTCTCAGCTTATTATTGTGGCCCGTGACATGGGCCAGCCAGTGCCTTATGAGACCACACAGCCTCTGCAGGTGGCGCTGTCGGACATCGACGACAATGAGCCTGTCTTCCTCAAACCGCCTGTGAGCACACAGATCTAGGAATACATCGTAAATGTGGTCATCTGTACATAAGAGATCGTGTTCATGTGTTTTTATGTAATATTTTCCCATGGTCTGTGTGTGTGTGCACTTCCCAGCGTGGTGGCTTGCCTTACCAGAAGCTGACAGTGCCTGAGCACTCCCATCCAGGAACCATTGTGGGCAACATAACCAGAGCTGTGGACGCCGATGAAGGCTCCAATGCAATCGTCTACTACTTTATTGCAGGTCACTCGGTGCTCTACACACAGTAGCATGTTTTTGCTGTTAATTGTGATTTATTTTCTCAGTCAGTTCAATAACTGATTTAACCAAAGTCTTGAATTTAGGAAGATTATAAAACAAGTTTTTCCTAACTTATTGTATCTCTATTGTGTGGCCATATGAAAGTCCTTGTACTTCAAAAGCTTGAGAATAATGAAGACATTTGTATGGATCTAGCTGTCTTTGTTCGCTCTTTGAAGCTTCAGTGTTTAATGTGGCCAAATGTGTCTCTTCCTGAAGGAGGAAACAGCGATGGAAACTTTGGCTTGAGTCTAGATGGAGAGTTAAAAGTGCTCAAAGATCTGGACCGAGAGGAGATCCCAGTCTACTCCATCATAATCAAGGCTTCCAGCAACAAAAGCTGGACTCCCCCCAGGGGTCAGAGGTCATTACGGGCTAAAGCTCTGGATCCGGCTCAAGACCCCAGTCTGCTGGAAGTCCGGATTGAACTGGAAGACATCAATGACCAGACACCACGCTTCATAAAGGCAGAGTACACTGCAGGTAACCTGCTTTCCTGCATAAATCTGTATGATGGACTATGTGATGCCGACATTTACTTTATACATTTCTTTCTTGTTTTAGGAGTTGCAGCAAACGCCAAAGTGGGCTCAGAGCTTATCAAGTTGGTGGCTATAGATAATGATATAGGCAACAACAGCGTGGTCCAGTACCACATTGTTACGATCCGCTACTTCCACTCACAGAACAACGGCAGTGAGGATGTTGGCAATATGTTCATCATCGGTGCGTTTCCATAATGCATTGCTGTAATGCAAATCCTCTGAAGGGGGAACCAAAATGCATTGTATTTTAATCTTGGGTACATTTTGACCTGTGAGAAAAAAGACATTTAAGAAACTTGCACAACAAGTATTTCGGAATTCTAGAGGGCAAAAACACTGTGTAGCAATGGCGAGAGATTTAAAGACAATGCAGATGTCAAATATCTAATAATAAAAACTTGATGAAAAAACTGTTCACATATTGTTTTAAAAGATAAGGACGACTCTGTCACAAATGAGTAAGTTCAGACTTTAAACTTGTTTGCAAACAAATTATAGGAATTGAAATGGCTTCAATAAAACCGAGTTAACAAATAGTAACAGTGTTCTCACACATGAACATTTTGCTTCCCGTAACCATTTTCCCACGCAGACGCAGAGAAAGTTACTTAAACCAGATCTTTTCTGCATGGTTTCAGTTGTACTGGTGTACATACAGTGACAAAAGTCTTTTTGCTCCCGAGTGAAGCAAATTTCTTACACAGAAACAATGCTGTCCCTTGATTTCCCCAGGTTTGACAGATGGCATCATCCGCACTTACGATCTCTTCACAGCCTTTAATCCCGGCTACTTCCAGCTTGAGATTTTGGCATGTGATTTCGCTGGACACAGCACAACAACTAATGTGAATATCTATATTCTCCGGGATGACCAGAGGGTCAAGATAGTCTTCAATGAGATTCCCGATTTTGTTCGTGCAAACCAGGAAGATTTCATCAACCTGCTCTCCAACATCACCGGTGCTATTGTCAATTTAGATGACATACAGGTTAGGCTTTCTTAGAGAAATGCTTTGATTTGTTTGCAGTGTGTAGATATCTGACATCTTTGACACTTTTTTTCAGTTTCATGTGGACAAGAAGGGCAGAGTGAGCTATGTTCAGACTGATATGCTCATCCACGTTGTCAACAATCAGACCAACACCATCCTAGACGTTGAAAGGTCGCGTATGCACTGGCGCTCCAAAGCAGCGTGGTTGCACTTTGATTCACATACACTAGGCATAATAAGGCCAGTGCAACACATTACCACACAGACTACACATTCTGAATCGATTTCCTGTTTTTAATACTTTCCAGGGTTATTCAGATGATCGATGAAAACAAAGAGCAGCTGAGAAACCTGTTCAGAAAATACAATGTTGTGGACGTCCAGCCAGCTGTTGGGGACAAACTGCCAGACGACATCTCTACTCTGCAGGTGTGCAAAGCTGCCAACTCTGGAAGTCTCCAGCCTGCTGCAGATGTTATTTGGTTTTGGTGCTTTTAAGGTGTCTTTCTTTTTCTCTTTCACAGCTGGTCATCATTATCTTGGCTGTGCTGCTGTGCTTTGCGGGGATTTTGTTTGTCACAATGAATTGGCATTATCGCAGAGTGTAAGAATTTTGTATTAAGGCACATTTGTTTACATTGTTTGAAACTCGCTCAGTCACGCTACCAGTCTGAGCAGCTGATCAACATGTTTATGATCTCATAATGTGTCTTTTTGTTTGACGCAGACATGAGAGGAAGTTGAAAGCAATTGTCGCAGGATCAACAGGTGAGAAGCAGCTCGACTGATGGGACGGTCCCTTTATCTGTTGATCAGGAAATGACTTTGCTGTCTGCTGATGTACAGTACAAAATATCAGTTAACTCAAAGCTGTTTTTCCATTACATTGAACTTTCCTCTACCTCACAGGAAACCAGGGACTAATGGATATCCTGGACATGCCCAACACTAACAAGTACTCCTTTGAGGGGTAAGATAATAGCTTTATTTTTACACTTTACTGGCTAACATTATTTACAAGAAGTTCTCACTTACAACAAAGTTCTCACTTGATGTTTGTTTTTTGACAAGTTCTGTTTTTTCAAAGTCTCACTTAATTGTCGTAGAAAACAATAAACAAATAAATGCTAAATAAGTGTATTTATTAATAATATAACAGAGGAGGTTAACAGACACTGCAACAAAGGACAGAAGAAGAGCAGGGCACAGGAGGGAGACAAGACACTTGACAATAAAGAAAGACAGTGATACAGGAGGGGAAGTAAAACTAAACACTAGACACCACTAGATTTTATCAAAATAAAACAGGAAGTAAACGCCATGACTAAACGTTTTAACTTAATCTTAAGCTACAAGAGGGAACAAATTAAAATCCAAGGACTAAATTATAACAAGAATTAAATGCTCCAAAATGCTCAAGAAAATAAAAAGACCAGTATACAAAACTAGTGAACAATCTAAAAAATTGAAAGTTAAAAATCATCGTCCTGCAACCCCAAGAAATATTATCGGAATTTAATTCCCCACAAAACCGTAAAGTGTTGTTTTAACGTGTGACAGCAAGACTAACATGTTAATTAGTAAGTGTTAAAGGTTATCTCTGCATAGCTCCGGGCTAGCTGTTTCCAGTGTCATTATATCAAACTAAGCTAACTGCACATTAGCTTTATAATTAGCTTACAGACAAAAGAGTTGTAAAAATCATAGTTAACTGCATTGTCATGACTATTTGAGCTGTTTTCACCATAATTAGGTGTCTTCAGCATGTCTATAGCACAACAAATTACGAGAAAAGAGACACATAATCCAATCATTTCTTTCCTTTCTCCATAGATCAGGAAGTTCATTTGAATTAACCATTTTCTTGAAGCTTATTTTGATGCCTTCAAAGGCAAGGTCCTTTGTGTAACCTCTCACTGATGGATTTAATGCTTCTGCAGGGCCAATCCAGTGTGGCTGGACCCATTCTGTCGCAACCTGGAGCTGGCTGCTCAGGCTGACCATGAGGATGACCTGCCTGAGAACCTGAGTGAGATAACTGACCTGTGGAACAGCCCCGCACGCACTCACGTCAGTACCAACATCCATTTGTATTTCTCAACAACACCCCAAGTATATTAATAGATACAATGTTGCTATGTGTTTTAATACTCAGAGATGTAGAATATGGGAGTTTGTATCGTTTACCATGAAATACTCCACCATAACGTTTTCACCATTTGTTCTCACAGGGCACATTTGGTCGAGAGCCTCAAGCGAAACCTGAGGATGATCGTTACTTGAGGGCAGCAATTCAGGAGTACGACAACATTGCTAAACTAGGCCATATCATGAGGGAGGGCCCTATCAAGGTGAGACCAGGAGTAATGCACTCACACATGCGCATACTTTCTTTTTTATTTTTGCTCCATCCATCTCATAATTGTCGGGACAGCTTCTTGTCCCAGAACTCAAGCCTTTCCCTATTTTTAAGAAGTGTAGGAGGTCCTGAGTATAAAATATAGAGGCAGACCCTGAGGACTCTATTATAAGCTTTTAACATGCCTTCAGGGATAGGCCTTCCTGCTCTGGATTCTTATTTATCTGTCCTGTGACAGCGCGGGTGTGCAAAGGCAGATGGTGTTACATACTATGTTTGATCATGACTGCCATCCTGTCAGGGTTCCCTGCTCAAGGTGGTCCTGGACGACTACCTGAGACTGAAAAAGCTCTTTGCAGCACGGCTTGTCACAGCATCCACAACCGAAGGAGACATCTCATCTGTCACTGAGGTGGGCTTCTGCACCTGCTGAAGGTGTTCCTGTCTGCTGGAGAATGATCTTCTATTTCTCTCAGTTCCCTTTCTGACATCTTGTCTGCGTACTCTGACGTGATTCCTTCTTGCTGGTTCTCCTTTCTCGTGTACTGTGAACCAGACTTCAGGTCAAACCGAGTTTAAGCTTAAAATTTGCTGATTATTTGTTTCAAGTGTTTTTCTTCCAGTGACCTACTAATTTCACTTCTGTTTCGTTCCACTGATTTACTCCTTTCTAGCACCTTGTCAAAGCTATTTCTTTATCAACCTAATGCATTTTAATCCCAGCATTAATAGCTAGCAGCTTCATTCACTCTCCCTCTCCTCTCCTGTCCTCCTTTAACAGCTGATCCAGAGCGATTTGGATGATGAGGACGATGAGCATCTGAGTATGGGTGGAGGTCGGGGCACTCTCCGTTTCAAGCACAAGCTTCCTGTGGAGTTGAAAGGGTCTGAGGGTGTGCACGTGGTCCACGGCAGCACAGGCACGCTCCTCACGTCTGACCTCAACAGCCTGCCTGAGGACGACCAGCGGGCCCTGGCACGTTCTCTGGAGGCACTCAATTCTGATGGGGTGCTGTACTCTGAGCGCAACGCCCGTACAGAGTCTGCAAAGTCCACCCCGATGCACCGCCACAAGGATGGGGACACCCTGTCCGAGAGTCCGCTGGAGATCACAGAGTTATGACTAGCCGAGGCCTCGCTGGTCTGAGAGCAAACCACGACTCGTGTGTGTGTGTGTGTCCTTGTGCCTCCACACCGCCACCCTGATAAGTTTGGGAAGGACTGGAGGAGCAGTGTGTGTAGTCTAGGGAACATCATCATCGATCGTCAGTGCATCATTGAGACATCCCGATAAAGGACGAACGCAGCACTGGGTCAGCGTCGGTGGATGTTGCATTGGAAACGGTCCCGTGTTGGATTTTGTCAAGAGATGGTTTATTTAAAAAGAAAACATATTAATAAAGGAAAGTGACAAGCTCGACACTTTCCTTCAGCAAGACAGAAAAAAAACCTGGTTTCATCAACTTTTATTTGAAGAGCTGAGTGGAAAAGAGGGACTAAGCCTCCCTGTGGGAGAAGCTTGTTGAACCACGACCTTAAAATCGTCAGAAGGTGCCTCGTTCTCACTAAACTTTTTGAAGGCATGCCTGGACTGCAGACACTCACACAAACGCACACACACACTCAAAATAAATAAATAGAATAAAAATGATGCTACACACACTCAGACCAGCGGATGGCCGTCAATGGGAGACTGAGACAATAACAATTCCTTATCACGCCGATATTTTTCCTTATTGAAAGATGCCTATGTCTGTGTTGAATGAGATATTAGATGTTGTTGTTGGGACTTTATTGACGAACACTTTATGGATACAGGGGAACCTCTGTATTTTCCCAGTGATGCTCACGGAGTGGCGTTTTCGCCTCACACAAAGGGATGAGGAGGCCTGAGCTCTTTTTGATCATCTGAAGAGCAGCAGAGAACATTCAGACTCTAGTCCAGCTCACTTTGTAGAGCATAACTGTGTTATGCTTTCACAGTTAAAGCAAGAACCTGCATAAGAAGACGAAGACTTCTTAAATGATGAACATGGTGGATGAAGGATGACTGTTATCTGGCACTGGGGTTACAGGGAGTAAATAATTCTTTGATATTAAGGGCAGTTAGAGAAAGCGTTGATAAAGACTTATAGATGGGGAAAACTATGAATTATCCCATTTTATAGACATAAAGAAGGCATTGTGCCCAGAGACTTTACACTGCCACCTGAGGGAGTAAAAGTCATGCTCCAATGAGCAATGTTTGCTTTATTTTTTTATTTTCTAGAATATGTGATGGAATTAAAAGATATTTTTGAAGAAAAAAAAATATGCTGGCTTACCAAAATCGGTAGGGAACAACTTTGGATGTTTGGAGTATGTGTATTTTGTGCTATGGTGACATGTCGTTCTGTTTTCCTTTGCAGGACAACTAATGCTGTTTCTGATGAGTGGTGTGTTTTAAAAAAATAATGATTTTTTATATTCCCATTTTGTAAGTTTTTATTTCTTTGTCATTTTTGTCACCAGCCCTGAGATCTGTGTTGGGAAATGTTGTGGGATGGTCTGTGGTAATAAAAAGACTTATGCAATGGCCTCTGACCTCAATGGATGTTGCCATAAGTCTGGTGTCTGATGCAGCAGAACGAGCTCAGGCAGGAACAAAAAGCCTGGGAATCTGAAAATAAACACGAATAAGCCTAAATATTAGTCCCCCAGTTACCTCACAGTTGACGTCTGTTCTACCCACGAACAAAAGCTTAAGTGGGAACATAACACTACAAAAAAATACTTGTGGTGAGGTGGTAAATACTGCCTCCTAGTGGAACACACTTGGTATTAGGGAGCAAAAACACACAAGTAACTAGTTTGCACTCCAATCCATCATTTTATTGTTATTAGATTACATAGAAAATTTGTCATTAATAATAGCTGTCAAAAAACTGGAAGGAGGCATTAGAAGACGTGATGTGATGTCTTGTCTCATCGGCCTGTAGCGGTTCCTGATGTCACAGTGGAAGCAGTGGTTGACATCTTCTTCAGAGTCCTGTTCAACTGTAGGGACACAAGAAGTGATCATTAGTCCTGTATTCAAAATCTTTTCAGTGCGGGGCAAACCGGAGGAGCAGGTGATGTTTTTAAATTTAATATTAGAGACAACTGTTTAATTTCCAAACTTTTAATATTCAAATTAGATTGTTACACCTTGTAATAGTTAGCACCTGAAACATATTAAATATTTTCCCATTCAGAGGCATTATGGACGATTGCTTACCTCCTCAAACTTGTGGATCTGTCTGATGAAAAAGTCTCCATACCGACGAGCGACTTTGGTGTCGGCAATGTGGATCATGTCCTGTGGGGAAAACGCCATCAAATATAAAGTACAACAAGACACATCAACATAACTAACCTCTTTAAAGCTTAATTTTACCCGAACTAAACACCTGAGGCATTCATCAGAGCCATCCAGCCCTGTGACATGCTATTTAAACAGCAGCACAGAAACATCAAAAGGAGCACTTTCATTTAAAAGATGTTCACCTTGTCAATGTAAAAGTCGACCTCAGACGCAGACTGGAACTCTCCGTCCAGCGCTGAGATGCCGCTGGTCCACACCAGATTCTTCATCTTGTGTTTGAAGACGAGCAGCTGAATGCGGAACTCCTGCTCTGTCATGTCCAGAAATCCGGCCAGCTTGGCTACTGGCATGGTGGTGTACAGCTTCAAGAAGCTACAATGACATATTGTGACTTAGATGACACGTATAAGCACTCAGACACAATCTAATAGTTCATGTAAAGGATTTAAATATGTAAAGTGTGGAGATTCAGGATATTTTTGTACGTTACTCCAGCTTTTACAGGTAAAACTACAACCTCCACATACTCACAAGTTGGTGGACTCACCTTCGAATGGTAGAGAGCTGGGCCTGCTGCTGCACCTCCTCAGCAAAGACCTTCAACTGCTGTTGAAAAGGTTCTTTGTGGTAGTTCGGGTGGACGTTGTCGTAGTTTGGCACTACAGGTGACAAGAACTTGGGACAGGCAAAGCTGAACAGCTCCTCGAACACCTGCAGATCTCTGAGATGGTAAAAGTAACATTTGCGTCAAAAGAAATGTTTGAGGCTACGAGCACAGATGCTGATGATATAATAAATTACTGATTCCATATCCCATAAGCAAAGCTCCACATTTTATATAACATTCTACATAATACAAAATCAAAACAGTAAAACAGAAAAGGACAAGGCAGTGAGTGTAGGTCTTACCCCTTTTGCATGCGGAGCATCTTATCTCCGTACTTCTCCCTCAGCTGGGTGTGGATGCTCTCGTCGATGCGCATCGGGTACATGGTCAGAGCGATAGCCAGCAGGCCGTGCATCTGCTCATTTTGTTTGTTAATCTGAAGAAAACATACAGGTATTATGACACCTGTTCCAAACATAATACTGTTTGATCATCCAACACAATGAGAGTGCCTGATTATTATTCATGTGTCAAAGCATTTTAAAGCAAATCAGCGCATCCCAAATGTTGCTGTCTGAAGTTCTCTCACCACGTTCTGTACAGACATAAGTAAAAGAACCTACAGCTAAAGATAAGGCAATGTCTAAAAACCACTGCTGTTACTAACCATCTCATATTTATATGTTGACCTCTGGAACATGTTTCTTGTTCTCTGGATATAGAGCAGGATGTTAGCAAAGACTCGAATGGCATCCTGGTAGCGCCTCATCATAAGGTAGGCGAAACCCACATAGTAATATGTGGTGATTTGGCACTCTGGAACACGCGAGTACATACTCTGAAAGACAGGGAGAAAAAAATATGCAGAAATATGAATTACAGAGCAAACGAGCAGTTTCATTTTTTAATGGTTAATTTCAACAGATCAACCAAACTTTATTTGTTGCTACAAAGGTTGATTTAATAGAAACTTTAAACTTTGAGATGAAATGAACTATATGACTCTGTGCTACTGAAGAACCGGGAACTTTGAATTATGTATTTAGTTTATAAAGTATTATAATAGTTATTCATTGTTAATGTGTCAGGTAAATTAATGAGTTCCTTCTTTTTTACTGCAACTTCACTTTGCCCACATTAAATTTCATGAGCATAAAGACTGATAAAGCAGAAACTGTGCCGAGTCAAATTATCACAAGAATCCTGGGAGAATATCGTTTGTTTGTTTTAAATTAAAAACATCAGTATCTGTCAGCATTGTATCAATCCTTCTAGGACAAGAGGAAACAACACCAACAACACATTTCCATATTGACACTCAATCCCAGCGCTCATCATCACCAGTGGGAGCAGACCAGACCTCTCTCTACATGAGGTCTTAAATAAGGTCGTACCTTCTTATTGAGCTCAATGTTCTCCAGGACTTTGATGGCCTGGTAATAGTCACCAAGCAGAGAGTGAAGCCTCAAAAGCCCGACCAAGCTGAAGTAACCCAACATCTTGTACAGGGAGTGACGTCCATATTCTCCAGCCACGCTTTCTGGGTCTCCTGCATTACAAGAACACATAACATGTTCACAACCTATACAATCCTGGACTCTAAAGCCTTAAATTGACATAATTCAAGATTTTAAAATAATTAGGTTTCTATGAATACTCCATTGTTTCTATAAATATCATAAAAAACACTCTTCTTTACCTCCACTTGTGTAGACCTCAAGCTGACGGTTGATGTTGCTCTTGTCCACCAGGGAGTGGAGAACATTGAGGACACTGTGGACGTTCCAGATCTTCGGGTTGCTCCTCAGGAACTCAATTTCCTCCTCAGACTTTTTGGCTGTCTTACAGCGGTACTGACTGAACGACTGAAACTGAAGGTGGAAGAGATGTTTGTTAGTGGATTTTAAATATGCTTTCTAGCCATGTGGACTAGTGATCATTAAAGACCACGAATATTTTTATTAATATGTCACCTATCTGGTGCTTAAAGCAATGATAACACTAACAACAACAGCTATCAGCCGTTTTCTTTATTTTGATCTTATTGATTGTTGAGCATGCACTCTAAAAACACTGTAATGTACCTGGTAGATAAACTCATCAATGATGTCCCAGAGCCACTGGTTTGGCAGCTCCAAGGGGGCCGGCCCATCAGCATCTGTTTAGAGTCAACAATAATCTCATATAGCTGCTGTTCTTGCACTAACGGATAAGAGAAAATGTATGGACAATGTGTGCTACTTACTGAGAATGTAGTTGAAGAGGTTGCAGTAATTGTAGTAGGACTCAAATCTCTGGTCCAAAGTTGGTCCACCCTGATTATACAGAAAATATTTTTTTCAGCCAAATTCTATAAAAAGTTTTGCACAGTGATAAAAAAAAAAAAGACCCAAACAACTGTTTATATTTAGCAGCTACTCACGCTGACTTTAGCGTAGATGTGTCTGTAATAGAGTTCTTTGTAGAGAATGAGAAACACGGCATCTGCAAAACACAAGAGACAAAAACAACATGAAACATCTCCACTGAACGACACAAAAGAGGCCTAAAACTTCTTTAAAATCTTAAATATATAAAATAAATAATAATCTTAAGCAGTGCAGGTTTATCTTTTTTTTTTATATAATCACACTCAAACATTAAAGAATAAAAATGATACTATCCATACAAAATCAAAAGTAGAACAAGTAATGGATAATGCTCTGACCATTGCCAACAAGTGATGCGATGGCCTCAGCCTCTGGCCAGGGAGAGGTCTTGAAGAAACGGTCAGTCAACTTGTTCCAGCTGAATGGGCAAGAGCATGAAAAGGTCAGCATATTAATCACACACGGTGTGAGAGTTATGTGCACAGAGTTAAGTTTACCTGTTTTCATAGACGTCCTGGATCTCGTAGATCTTCTGCTCAATGCTCTCACTAGACACCCGGTTGGACTGCAGCTCATAAACCTTCTGGTCAATCAAGTCAGAAATGGTTTTGTGGAAATACTGCAGAAAGTTCTTGATCACCTCTGGGATGACATGGTAGGTCTGCTGCTCATACTGCCTCTCGTAGGCAAGGTCTGCTTTAGGGTCACCTGCAAGGAAAATTAAAAGAACATCCTTTAATCTGCTCTAAAAGTTACTTGTGTTGTGTGACTGACTAAACAAGAGGATTGTATCTGTAAAAAGAGATAGTATGAGTATAAAAGGGATGGTTATTTGTATACTTACCAGTGTGCAGATCGTAGTCGTTTGTGTAGGAGTAAGGATCGTACTGTAAGGAAACAAAGCAATCGGGCATTTGTTACTGATACAGCTACAGCATCTGATATTGACCTGCCCAGCGAAAAACGACCAACTGATCGATTATATAGCGATATTTTATAATAATATAAAATGCACTAAAAAGAGTTACAGACAATTAGCTACTTTTTTGGTTGCATTGTCTTAAAGCAGGGTTTAAGAGTAAATTTATATCACACAAACTCATTGAAGCCACTGTTATACTATGCCGGTGGAGTCGAGCTAGCTACACAGCTACCTAGCTAACAGTGTGCCATTGTTATTGCAGTCAAAACGTACAAATGTCTGAAGGAGTAAATGTGTACTTACTTCCTCTTCGTCGTGGTATGACATTATATTAGC